CTAGTCTCTCTCGAGGACATGGAGAAGACAAGCATCATCGTCGACGACGACGAGTACATCTTTGACGGCTTCTTCCTCCTCGGCGCCGACGCCATGCCACCCGTACGCGCTGGCTCGTCATGGCGCTTCTACGTCTCATGCGCATGAAGTAGATGGAGTATGTGCGCAGTGGCGTCAAGTGCACGCTGGCGCTCGTGCCACAGGAGCTGCCACCGCACCAGTACGAGCACGACGCGATGCTCTCGTTCGAGCAGTTTGTGCTCTGGCAGCTGCTTCGCATCCCCATCTCGGAGCTCCCGGGCTTTCAAGGCGACCGTGGCATGCACCTCTACCCGCGCTTTGTCTTTCGGAAGGACCAGACGTCCGAGACGCTGCGTCAGGTACGAAGTCTCCTCAACGGATGATGCATCAAGCGACTTAGGTGACGGCGTCGCATCGCCTCGGCTTTGGCATCGGGGCGCTCTTGCCGCTCCCTGCGCTCTTGAACCATGTGCAAGAGTCGTCGTCGACGACGGCCCATGCGTTCATGAGGACGCACTCGGAGGCGCGTCTTCGGTACCACGTCGTGTCGACACGCGCGAAACAAGGTTGTCCCCTTCTTCTCTACCATCCCTCGTGCTCGCTCATGCAGCGCCGCAGACTACTTTCGCATCGACCGCGCCAATGCCTTCTTGGTACAAACCTTTCCCGCATCATCATCATCAGGGACCGTCTCTGTACACGCGTACGATTCGATAGGGCCAAGTCTACCATGAAGGGCGGGGGGCGCCAGCCCACGACGGCGTCGCCGACCTGCGCCAGTTCAATGCCCATCAGCGCTTGGGGGCAATCCATTGTATAGCCACACCGGTGGAGAAGTGCAGCTTTGGCCAGCGCGCGTCCGAGTGCTACCTCTCGGGTCTCAAGGCTGACGTCATCGAAGTACGTATACAACAATCAAGTCCATGGCATATACACGGCTATCTCCTGTGCGTAGATTGCGACCGCGCTGCCGCTTTTGACGAGAACGTTGGCCCACATGCGACAATTGCAGGCGTTGCAAGCGACGTGGGGTCTTTCGTTTCGGACGCCGGCGCTCTGCCACGAAGCGTTCGTGCACGTCTCGTACATCGAGTGCGGCATTTCGTCGGCCAACTGCGCCCCCGCCATCCACGCCCGCGTGCGACTGGGCATGCCGCTTTCTCGCCCGTCACTGTCGTCCACGAAGAAGCGGAAAACACCGGTACCCTCGAACGCTGCGACGACGAACGCTCACGCGGTGTAGATGTCGGAGCTCGAGTCGATTGTCGACGCGCACGACGACCGAGACTTTCAACGCTTGGACCCGTCGCCGAATCTGCGGTCGTATGGCCGCCTCGAGTTCCTCGGCGATGCGGCGCTGAGCCTCGTGGCTGCGTGTGCCACCTTTCTTCGGGTAGCCGCCGCGAATGACTATGTCGTCATCGCTGTTATGCATGGATACTAGCTGCGCGCAGCCCCCGAGGGACAGCTCACGACGATGCGCGCCAGCATTGTGAGCAACGACACCATCGGCGAGATGGCCATGAAAGTGGGGCTCCAGCATCTCGTCCTCTGCGCCTACGACGTGACGACCGCGCCCGTGTGCGACAGGACGCGCCTCGTCCATAAAGGCTCACCGACGAGTAGGAAACTGGTGCAAAAGATCGCTGCCGACTGCTTGGAAGCCCTTCTTGGCGCGCTTCTCGTCGACCTCGTAGGTCGCGCACTGGCGAGCGATGCTGACGGGATCAACGTAGGGTCTCGACGAGGGCATGGTGGCTGTCCGCGCCCTCTTTTCTGCCATGGTCAAAGCGTACGACCCCGAGCTCCACGAGCTTCTCTTCCTCTCGGAAGACGCGCTGCGGGCGGAGGCGCGAATCTACTTGGACGAAGACGCGGCGGCGTTTCAAGCGCACCCGCAAGCGGCTTGGCTCCTCTCGCAAAAGACCAAGTTTGAGGCCGCGCATGCCTCCGTGCCTCGTCTCGATCGCCCGCACGTCTGGGTCCGCGCGCTCACGCACAAGTCATTTTGGAGCCCGAGCATCGACCATACCGCGTCGTACGTTCCCAGTGGTCCTGGCAACTACGAGCGGCTCGAGTTTCTCGGCGACGCCGTGCTCGAAGTCGTCGTCTCGTACCATCTGTGGAGCGTGTTTCCGCACCAGCATGTACGATCGGTTGTGCTACTAGTACGCTGGGACTCGACCCAATTATGGATATAGGAAAACCTCTTGTCTAAAGTCCGGTCGGCGCTCGTCAATAACGTACGACTTGGCCACGTCGGCGCGGCCCATGGCTTTGAGGATGTGATTCGCCTTGGCACCAACGTGGTCGCCAACGGCCTCCGCCTCCCAGCGGTCATTGCGGACGCGTTCGAAGCGCTCCTCGCAGCCTCGTTCCTCGAAAACGTGCGTGCTTTCGTTGCTATTGTGCTGAGTATTCCTGCGACTAGTGGTCCCTTCTGCCCGTCGCGTCTTTCTTGCAAGACGCTCTCTTCCCGCTCCTGCCCGAGGTGCGCCGCCCTGCGACTCTGAATTGTGGTTTGCATTCAAGTAGGTCGTGCGGCATCGCGAGTGGCTCTCACCGCGCCAGCGTCTCATCACGTACCTCCGCAAAGTGCATCCGACCGCCGACGTGATCTTCCAAACCACGACGCCCATGGACGACTCGACGCAACACGCTATCGCACTCGTCCTTGACGGCTTCCTCGTGTGTCGGGCCAGCGCATCCACCAAGGATCTCGCGACCGAGAGAGCCGCGACAAAGGCCATGCAACTCCTCGGGTTTCCATAACCAACTTTGACGCCCTTTTCGTCTTGATCGTCGGTCGCCAGACGTGGAAATGGAAATGGAGGTCTCTGCAGCAACCCTCGTCCCAGCCACTTGCGAAACTACGGATGATCCGTAGTTTTGTCAAAGTCAGGCGTTGGAGGGTTAACGTTGGTAGTGTCGCTTTACATGTTGGTGTGACGCGTAGAGCGCACGTGGTCCGGAACGACGGTCTCCTCCGTCGATCGACTTGAAGCTATTCCTTTGCACTCATCGGTCATCATCAGAAC